TTTTTTTTTTTTTTTTTTTTTTTTTTTGAGACGGAGTTTCGCTCTTGCTACCCAGGCTGGAGTGCAATGGCGTGATCTCGGCTCACCGCAACCTCCGTCTCCTGGGTTCAGGCAATTCTCCTGCCTCAGCCTCCTGATTAGCTGGGATTACAGGCACGCGCCACCATGCCCAGCTAATTTTTTGTAGTTTTAGTAGAGACGGGGTTTCACCATTGTTGACCAGGATGGTCTCGATCTCTTGACCTCGTGATCCACCCGCCTCGGCCTCCCAAAGTGCTGGGATTACAGGCGTGAGCCACCGCGCCCGGCCTCAGGATAGTCTTAATGTCTTGATCCCATCAAAGTGGTGGGATTACAGGCGTGAACCACCACGCCCAGCCAGAAAAGATATCAATTGCCCAATTCTTTCATTTGTCAGGTTTTTTTTTCTTGAGATGGAGTTTCGATCTTGTTGGATCAGGTTGGAGTGCAATGGTGCAGTCCTGCTCACTGCAACCTCCACCTCCTGGGTTCAAGCAACTCTCCTGCCTCAGCCTCCTCAGTAGCTGGGATTACAAGCATGCACCACCACACCCAGCTAATTTTGTATTTTTAGTAGAGACGGGGTTTCTCCATATTGGTCAGGCTGGTCTCAAACTCCCGAACTCAGGTGATCTGCCTGCCTCAGCCTCCCAAAGGGCTGGGATTACAGGCGTCAGCCACTGCACCCAGTCTTATTTGCCAGTTTTGATGAGTGCCCTTACAACTTCCAAAGGCACATGAGGCATCCTTCCTTAAGCAGCATCGTGAACTCTTGGATTTTTGGTTTTTTTAGATGAAATCTCACTGTTTTGCCAGGCTGGAGTACACTTGTGCAATCTCGGCTCACTGCAACCTCCACCCTCAGGGCTCAAGTGATTCTCCTGCCTCAGCCTCCCAACTAGCTGAGACAACAGACATGCGTCATCATGCCCAGGCAATTTTTTTTTTCAGTACGGATGCAGTTTCACCATGTTGGCTAGGATGGTCTCGATCTCTGGATCTCAGGTGATCTGCCTGCCTCAGCCTCCAATATGCTGGGATTACAGGCATGAGCCACTGTGCCTGGCCAACTCTTGGATGTTTATATGGTCAACACAAACTAAAAAAAGGAATGTGAAGTCCATGATATCATTAATAGTAACTTGAATTACTTGTATATAAAGGATTCATATACTAAATATATCTCACATTAATTTTTATATATAGATATTAATGAACAACTAATTAACATGCTAAAACATTTTATAATTTGCTTCAACATCATGTATAGATAACACAAAAATTAATTGTGGCCTACTTTAGGCTACATGATCATAGACAAGCTGATGTAATTAAAACGAACAGATTTATTTTCTGGTACTCTTGCGGCTTAACATTAAAATCTCTTGATTATTGTTTATTGCTATCTTCCAACAAATCAGTTGGCCAGTCCATCCCAAGGTGACTTCTTAATAATATCAGCTAACACATGTAAGCCATATAAACATTTATGAAAATTATACACCGAGTCTCCAGTGAGGGAGAGCTCCCTGGAGAAGCAGCTGAGTCCAGAGCTGGGCCAGGGAAAACCGAAGACATCCCAAAACAATGAAATGCTTAAATAAGGACAGGGCACAGGAGACTCTCCAGGAGCTCCCAGTGGCCAAAGCTGTAACAATCAGAGCATGAAAACAGTATCAGATTGTAGCTTATAACAAACATCCCGGGCCGGGCGCGGTGGCTCAAGCCTGTAATCCCAGCACTTTGGGAGGCCGAGGTGGGTGGATCACAAGGTCAAGAGATCGAGACCATCCTGGTCAACATGGTGAAACCCCATCTCTACTAAAAATACAAAAAATCAGCTGGGCATGGTGGCGCATGCCTGTAATCCCAGCTACTCAGGAGGCTCAGGCAGGAGAATTGCCTGAACCCAGGAGGCGGAGGTTGCGGTGAGCCGAGATGGCGCCATTGCACTCCAGCCTGGGTAACATGAGTGAAACTCCGTCTCAAAAAAAACAAAAACAAAAAACAAAAAAAAAAAACAAACATCCCTTGAGTGTATACTGATATAAATATCTAAAGAAATAAACAGTAGGCCAGGTGCAGTGGCTCCTGCCTGCAATCCCAGCACTTTGGGAGACTGAGGCAAGCTCAGGAATTTGAGACCAGCCTGAGCAACATGGGGAAACCCCATCTCTACAAAAAAAACAAAAAATTAGCTGGGCATGGTGGCGAGCACCTGTGGTTCCAGCTACTCAGGAGGCTTAGATGGGGGGACTGCATGAGCCCAGGGGGTCGAGGCTGTAGTGAGCCATGACTGAGCCACTGCACTACAGCCTGAGCAGCAGAGCAAGACTATTTCAAAAAAAAAGAGGAAAAGGTGGAGAAGGGACTGTGCTTTCTTGGAGATGAATTCCAATTAATAGATGTCAAAGGAATGAGGAAAACATGAAAATCACCTTTGCAAACTACGTTAGTAATTACTGCATGTGAGACCCACCAGTGGATGCTGAAGTTAGTGGGTATAACTTGGAAATGAAACAGACATTCACGTAGTCTGGAAGTATCTCAAAGTATTTATGGATTACAAACAGAAAACAAAAACAGTAGCCATGCAGTGGAGAAACCCCTGCAACCACCACCTAACTGACATGACCAGGAGGAGCTGGAGAGACTTGTGCTGTGTATCTCCACGATGCACTGAGAAGAGGATGTTTGGGAAATGCTGACAAAAAGCAAAAAAAAGAGGACATGGTAGCTGTGGTTTTCATGTCAACACACACACACACAAAAATAGGCTGGGGGCAATGGCTCATGCCCATAATCCCAGCACTTTGGGAGACCGAGGCAGGTGGATCACGAAGTCAGCAGCTCGAGACCATCCTGGCTAACAGGGTGAAACCCTGTCTCTACTAAAAATTAGCCAGGCGTGGTGGCATGCGCCTGTAGTCCCAGCTACTCGGGAGACTGAGGCAGAATTGCCTGAACCTGGGAGAGAGGTTGCAGTGAGCTGAGATTGCGACACTGCACTCCAGCCTGGGTGACAGAGTAAGACTGTCTCAAAAAACTAACTAACTAACTAAATAAACCTTGTCCAGTTATAAGGTCAGAGTTCCCAATGGGGGATGTTCTACAAAGTAGCTGACAGTATCCTTCGAAACTGTCAGGGTCATAAAAGACAAAAGCTGAATCACTAAAAGCGAAGATGTATGCCCAGCCTGTCCCTTCTTTTGTATAAATAAGAATGTAAACATTATAACACTTCAGGAAATTCATAAAGAGAGAAATAGGCTCATATTAATAGGCTATGTTGGTTTGGTGGCTCCCACCTATAATCCCAACACTTCAGGAGGCCAAAGCAGGAGGATCCCTCGAGCCCAAGAATTTGAGACCAACCTGGGCAACAGAGTGAGATCCCATCTCTACAAAGTTTTAAAAATTATGGCCAGGTGCAGTGGCTCATGCATGTAATTCCAACACTTTAGGAGGCCGAGGCAGGTGGATCACGAGATCAAGAGTTCAAGACCAGCCTGGCCAGCATGGTGAAATCCTGTCTCTACTAAAAAAAAACCAAAAATTAGCTGGGCATGGTGGCAGGTGCCTGTAGTCCCAGCTACTCAGGAGACTGAGGCAGAATTGCTTGAATTCTGGAGGCAGAGGTTGCAGTGAGCCAGGATTGCACCATTGTACTCCATCTGGGTGACAGAGCAAGACCTCCTCTCTTAAAAAAAATAACAATAATTAGCCAGGCATGGTGATATGTGCCTGTAGTTCCAGCTAGGAGGCTAAGGTGGGAGGATCCCTTGATCCTGGGAGTTCAGGCTGCAGTGAGCTGTTTGTGCCACTGCACTCCAGCTGGAACATAAAAGGGAGACTTTGTCTCAAAAAACAATTTAAAAAACTTTTTTTTGAGACCGAGTGTCACCCTGTTGCCCTGGCTGGAGTGCAATGGAGTGATCTTGGCTCACTGCAACCTCCACCTCCCAGGTTCAAGCAATTCTTCTGC